CAACCATCTGGCCCAGGGCAGGGCCTGACAGGCCTCACAGGGACGGTTGCTGTCACTGCTGCTGCGGCCCAGGGGGATCCGGTGGGGCGCAGAGTTCCTTTTAAAATGTTTTAAAATTTTCCTTTCCTTTTCCTTTTATTTTTTGTATATGTGGGGACGGGGATGGGGGTGGGATGGATGTTTAGTTGGGAATTTGTTTGATTTTAATGGATTTGTAATTTTTATAGTTTTTCATTTGTATTGCTTTTTGTTTTCTGAATTTTTTTGTTTGTTTGTTTGTTTTTGTTTTTATTGTTTTAAGGTCTTATTTTGTTCTTAAGGGGAAGGGTCAGGGCTGCCGGGGAGTGGGTCCCAGCCAACAAAATGGCTGGGGTATGTTCCACAGAGGGGGATGCGCTGGGACAACCGATCTCAGTGATCACGGGTAGGAGGAGGAGTTACGCTAAGACCAGACCATGTCATTACAGAGGAGGCAGGTTTAGTCGTTGTCTGAGGACTATCCCTGCCTCCGGGTCTGGTCCTGTCCGGACGGATACTAGAATCAGCAAGGGATACCCACATAGCCTGAAGGTGCTGCTGTGCAATGCCAGGTCAATGATTCATAAGACCACTGCCATCCATGACTTGATCATGGATGGAGGATTTGACCTGGCTTGTGTAACAGAGACTTGGTTGGATGAAGCAGATGGGCCTGTTCTTGCCGCTGCTTGTCCACCGGGTTTCTCTTACGCACAGCAACCCAGGCCTTGTGGGCGGGGAGGGGGGGTTGCAGTGATTTTTAGGAAGTCATTAGTTTGCACCAGGCGTCCTGTTAGGAAGACCCAGTTCTCTGAGTGCATGTTCTGGAAGTTGGGCAATAGGGGCAGTACAGGATTCCTTTTGGTGTACCGACCTCCCCGCTGCACCAAGGATTCCCTGCCCGAGCTGCTTCAGGTCGTGGCGGATGTTCTCCTGGAGACACCTAGTTTGGTTGTCCTAGGGGATTTTAATATCCATGCCGACACGACCTTACAAGGGGCCGCTCGGGACTTCGTGGAAAGCATGGCCTCCATGGGGCTGTCCCTGAATAACTTTGGCCCAACCCATAGCCGCGGACATGCCTTGGACCTGGTGTTTACCTCCATGGATGTTGGTGTTCTGACACTAAATAAAAGCGAAACAAAAGAAGTGCCATGGTCAGACCACTTCCTGGTGCAACTTGACTTCTCCGCGACCCTTCCCCTCTGCAGGGAGGTGGGACCGATTCGGATGGTCCGCCCCCGCCACTTAATGGATCCAAATGGCTTCCAGAGAGTGGTAGGGGATGCTTTATCCCATGTTGATGGCCTTTCAGCTGATTCCCTGGTGGCCCGCTGGAATGTGGAGTTAACCAGGGCTATTGACTGTTTGGCTCCGAAGCGCCCTCTCCGATTGCATGGAGCCCGAACAGCCCCGTGGTTTTCCACGGATCTGAGGGCAATGAAACAATCGTTGAGACGGCTAGAGCGCCGGTGGCGGATGACCCATTCTGAAGCTGACCGGACACAGGTTAGAGCTCAGTGTCGAGCCTACCAAGTGGCGGTAGCGACGGCGAAGAAGGCTTTCTTCGCCGCCTCTATTGCATCTGCAGAAAACAGCAGCAGGAGACTTTTTCAGGTGGTCCGCAATTTAGCGGAACCACCTGCTACATCGGGGCCCAGTACGGGCCACATGATCTCCTGCAATGATTTTGCAAAGTTTTTTGCAGATAAAGTCGCTCAGATTCGGGAAGAGGTAGACGCCACCGTGGGAGCAGGGCCAGGGCGGGAGAGTGCTAGAGTCCTGTCTAGTCAAATTGCGTGGGATCAATTCCAATCTGTTACCTCCGAGGATGTGGACAGGCTGCTTGGACGAGTGAAACCAACCACCTGTCTCCTGGATCCTTGCCCATCCTGGCTTATAAAAGCTAGCCGGGAAGGGCTGGGCGATGGGCTTCGTGGGGTGGTGAATGCTTCCCTCCGTGAGGGAACCTTCCCAGACCCGTTGAAAGAGGCGGTTATTAAACCGCTTCTTAAAAAACCATCTTTAGATGCGGCCACGATGGCCAACTATCGCCCAGTCTCAAATCTTCCATTCTTGGGCAAGGTGATTGAGCGAGTGGTTGCTGAACAACTCCAGGCACGCCTGGAAGAAGCGGACCATTTGGATCCCTTCCAATCGGGATTCAGGCCTCATCACGGGACTGAAACTGCCTTGGTCGCACTGGTTGATGATCTCCGGCGGGCTAGGGACAAAGGTGAGAGCTGTTTCCTAGTTCTGCTGGATCTCTCAGCGGCATTTGATACCATCGACCATAACATCCTTCTGGACCGTCTTGAGGGGCTGGGAGCTGGGGGTACTGTCATACAGTGGTTCCGCTCCTTCCTCCTGGGCCGTGTTCAGAAAGTGGTGGTGGGGGATGAGTGTTCAGACCCCTGGGCTCTCACTTGTGGGGTGCCTCAGGGTTCTGTCCTCTCCCCTATGCTTTTCAACATCTACATGCAGCCGCTGGGAGAGATCATCAGGGGGTTTGGGCTGGGTGTTCATCAGTATGCAGATGATACCCAGCTCTACCTTTCTTTCAAATCAGAACCAGTGAAGGCGGTGACGGTCCTGTGTGAGTGTCTGGAGGCGGTTGGAGGATGGATGGCGGCAAACAGATTGAGATTGAATCCTGACAAGACAGAAGTACTGTTTCTGGGGGACAGGAGGCGGGCAGGTGTGGAGGATTCCCTGGTCCTGAATGGGGTAACCGTGCCCCTGAAGGACCAGGTGCGCAGCCTGGGAGTCATTTTGGACTCACAGCTGTCCATGGAGGCACAGGTTAAATCCGTGTCCAGGGCAGCTGTGTACCAGCTCCATCTGGTACGTAGGCTGAGACCCTATCTGCCCGCGGACTGCCTCGCCAGAGTGGTGCATGCTCTGGTTATCTCCCGCTTGGACTACTGCAATGCGCTCTACGTGGGGCTACCTTTGAAGGTGACCCGGAAACTACAACTAATCCAGAATGCAGCAGCCAGACTGGTGACTGGGAACGGCCGCCGAGACCATATAACACCGGTCTTGAAAGACCTACATTGGCTCCCAGTACGTTTCCGAGCACAATTCAAAGTGTTGGTGCTGACCTTTAAAGCCCTAAACGGCCTCGGTCCAGTATACCTGAAGGAGCGTCTCCACCTCCATCGTTCTACCCGGACACTGAGGTCCAGCACCGAGGGCCTTCTGGCGGTTCCCTCACTGCGAGAAGCCAAGTTACAGGGAACCAGGCAGAGGGCCTTCTCGGTAGTGGCGCCCTCCCTGTGGAACGCCCTCCCACCAGATGTCAAAGAGAACAACAACTACCAGACTTTTAGAAGACATCTGAAGGCAGCCCTGTTTAGGGAAGCTTTTAATGTTTGATGTATCACAGTATTTTAATATTCTTTTGGAAGCCGCCCAGAGTGGCTGGGGAAACCCAGCCAGATGGGCGGGGTATAAATAATAAATTATTATTATTATATTATTATTACTATAAGACCCCTGGATCCTTTTCACATGGACTACTGGCAAACTAGGTGTCCCTCTCCCCCATCTTATATTTGTACAGCTGGCTGTTCCTGCCTTACATTTCTCCCTATTCAAGTTCATTTTGTTAGTTTGGACCCAGTTCTCCAATCTGTTAAGGTCATGTTGAATCCCAAGCCTGTCTTCTGTGACATTAGTTACCCTTCTGATCCAGTGTGGTCTAGTGGTTAAGAGCGGTAGTCTCGTAATCTGGGGAACCGGGTTTGATTCCCCGCTCCTCCACATGCAGCTGCTGGGTGATCTTGGGCCAGTCACACTTCTTTGCAGTCTCTCAGCCCCACTCACCTCACAGAGTGTTTGTTGTTGGGGGAGGAAGGGAAAGGAGAATGTTAGCCGCTTTGAGACTCCTTAGGGTAGTGATAAAGCGGATATCAAATCCAAACTCTTCTTCTTCTTCTCAGTTTGGCATCATCTGCAAAGTTGATGAACATCCCCTCAATTCCTTCATCCAAGTCATTTGTAAAGACATGGGAAGAACAACTGGTCCAGGACAGAACCCTGCAGCACCCCACCTTTTCTGAAATTTGTTTTCCTTGTAACATTTTTATGTTCCCCCATTCAGTTGGATAAAAGAGCTTATACTGTAGCACACGTTCCCAGTGCCTTTAGTGATACCAAAGTCATTTGCATGTTTGAATAATTTACCTTAAAACACATGTTCATAGACAATGGATTTCAAGATGATGGACTATTTCTCAGCCTAGCTTGGGGCCCCAACATGATACAAGCTTTGATGATGTTCTGGTACAATGTACCTTTCACTAACGCAGTATATTTAGGAAGGTCTCAGAGCTGGTTCAACAGCTCTGTGGGGGAGTGGTAGCTGAGTCTGGCACTAGCATCACCATTCCAGTTGCTGTGGAAGCACCATCTGGAAGCTTCCCTAATTTTCCAGCACAACAGTTCATAGGATTTGGATGGTGAGATCTAGTTATACATTTTGAGACAAGAAATACCTCTTTCAAAACGTAAAATACAATAGTTCTCTGAACCTGCTTAATTTTGTTTGAGGTTGCTCTGAAATATAAATGCATTAAAATGATATACACTGACATGAAAGATTTTTTATGAAGCTCTATTTGTCTTTTGAACTCAGAAATCATTCCTGCTTGCCATCCTTGGGGAATAGTCTGGGGGAAACTATGGCTATTTATTATGAAGTAAAGACACTGTGTGTCAGACAAACTTAAATATTCCTTTTAAAGTAATATTTCATTAAATATATAGATCTGACTTTGAAGCAAAGCCAAGAGGATTTTTTATATTATTATTGGGGGGGGCGGGGCGGAGAAACAACTTCTTAAAATAATCAGAAGACATTCGTTTCAGTCTTCAATGTCAACAATTAATCTGCACGTTTTGTTTAGGCTGACAGCTTAAGAGCTTTGGAACTGCTTAAAGGAATTAAGTGTATTTGAATATGCTGCTTCATCTTTTAGCATTTCTAGGCTCCAGAAATTTCTCAGCTGCTACAACCCAACCGAGCCAGTGATTATTGGAGAACGCTATGGTTATGGATTGGGGTCAGGAGGCTATAGTTATATCACTGGTGGAGGAGGGTAAGTTGTTTAATTTAAACAGAATTGGGACATATTTATTTATTTTACAAAAACATTTCTGTGCCGCTGTATCATAAAAAATATATCACAGTCACTTGCAACAACATAAAACCAAGCTATAAAATAATAGAAAATTAAAGCAAGTTAGAAGCAAAAAGAAATGAAAAACAAACACTGATAGACCACTGTGCGTGATGTACTCTTAATTGCCTGTGTGGGTCTGGCAGAAGAGAAAAGTTTTTGGCAGGCATTTCACTACCTTTGCTTTTTAATGTTTTATAAATGATTAAGGGTGAGCCATGAGGTAGCCAAGCTTGTTGATGAGACCACAAATTAAAAGAAAAAAGGGGTTGTGATGAGCTCCCAAAGGATCCCTCGCAACTGGACAAATGGGTAGTAAAATGGTAAATGCAATTCAGTGTGTGCAAATGTAAAGTGATGCGCATTAGGGCAAAATAAAATGATCATTTCACAGTGAATGGGAGCAGGGAATAAGTTCCATGCACAGGAGAGGCAGGTAAAATCATGTATTGAGGTGGCTGCCGCACCTGTTCACTCAAGACTGCTGATGCAATGCTGCATTCTTCTGCTGGGAAAGAAAGTTCTTTGCATCTGCAGCCCTCTCTCATCTCAGGCAAGGTCTTTCAGGGTGCTTTGTTTCCAACAAGAGGAGGCATCCGCAGTGGAATACCCAGCCAAATGACTGCAGCATAGCAGCATTAGTCTCTGCTATGCTCAGGAGGCATGTACGTTAACAACTTTCTACACATTCACAGTGCGTTGAGCCGCTTTTTGATGCACAGTTGTCTTGGCTGTCACCCTGCTAAGAAAAATCAGTTGAGGGAGAAATGCTGTTCTTATCATCTTATGAAATAACTTACAGCGTCAAAAGGAGTGACTATAAGACTCCAATAATCTTAAAGCACATGGTTAGTGGCTTGGGTAAATATTTTCACAAGCAACTGAATACCCTTCTTAACTTTCTCAGGTTGTGATGAGTCTAGCTTTTCAGAACTGAAATAGGCATATGAGCAAGCATTCTGTTTGGTATTGACATTACTTTTAAGCACAGAGGTGAGATAGGAATATGTTTCTAATATCAAAGGAGCCACTGACTGTAATATATAGTTACAACTGATACCATGAGCTGGTTCACGTGTAATGCTAAGCCAAACCATAGTTTAGGGTTAATGTGAGTGTAATGGTTCTAGGGGTTGCTTGTGCGTAAATCGGCGCCACACCTGGCTGGTTGCCTGAGTGAACCCTTTCTGTCTGGACAGCCACTCGCCCGTGGCTGTCTCAATCGCTGGCAGAATCCGTCAGTGGGCGTTTCTTGAACTTCTTCCAGCAAAGAAGCTCTTTGACACCTAGTCTCCGCCTACTTTCCCTGCGCGGAAGCCTTCTGCGCAGGGAGGGTGTGGGCATCGGAGGACCCGTGCTCTCCCCACTGGTTCCCGGCGAGGAGTCTTGGAGCCACCTCGCCGATTCCCCCATCTGCCCCCCTTCTCCACTGGTGCTACGCTGATTTCCTTCCCCAGAAGATGTGCTGCTTCTCTCCCTCCCAAGACGCTCTCCGGAATCCCTCTGGAGCCCTCCCCCTGGCTCCGATGGCAGTTCCCTGACAGTGAGGTTTCGGAAAGAGCAGATTGCAGTGGTTGCTCTCCTCCCCTGCCTCTCCTGCTCCTGCTCCTGCTCTGCTGTGTACTAAGCCATAAACTGTAAACTCAAGTTGTCTGGAGAAAGACAAACCATTAGCCCAGGTTTAGATGACGTCCTAAGCCAAACCATTGCTTAGCTCGTAGCAGCAACATGACCAGAGGAGGAACAAAGCAGGTGAGATCTCTGTAGGATCACACACACACACCTGTTAACTAAAAACCATGGTTTAACTTACCATTTCATGTGAGCCAGCTCTAGATCACTAGTGATGTTCACCATATAAAGGAGTGTCCACAACCAATCTTCATTCATTCCTATGAGTATCATGACCCAAGTCCTAATTTTACCAAACACCTTTTGTGCTAGTAGACTATTTGTATTTGGTGCTGTCATTTTGTAATTGCCGTGATCATTTGCACCTTTTTGCAGTGATATAACAGTTAAAACTTTCCTTGTTAACTTTGTCATTTAAGGATGGTTTTCAGTAGAGCAGCAATCCAAAGATTATTTGCTAGTAAATGCCGGTGTTACAGCAATGATGCCCCTGATGATATGGTGATTGGAATGTGTTTCAGTGGTTTAGGAATTCCAGTAACACACAGCCCTCTCTTCCATCAGGTGAGTCTAATTTATTAATTTTTTATTACTCATAGGTCCCAGGGCAGATAGCAACATTAAAGCATAATATTAAAAATGGTTTATGGTAATAAAAATAAGATGGGTTCTAAAAACATAAACCTCAAGTTCTGCAAGCCAGGGTAAAGAGAAGTTTGTAATTTTGGGGCAAGATCCAACATCACACCAGTTGATGTGGCAGAACTTCCCCTTGCTCTCTGGACTCCTGCAACCCCCACCCCTTCCCATCTCCTCTGGAGCTAATGGAGGGTGGAAGCCCCATTCCCATAAGCAGAGTTTGTTGTGCAAGCCAGCTGACACTATCAGATTTCACCCTTAAACTGCTTCTCTAACAGAAACACAATTTCTGTGGGGGTGGGGGGAATATTTATTAGATTCTGAAATGGGAAATAATATTAGGGAAATCTTGCTGGGCCTGCATAGTGTCTCCTCTTGTCAGTGAACCTGGGATACACGGACAATTGCAAACTGAAAAGGGTGTGCTGACCCTCTGGAAGTGGTATAAATAAATGATAAAGGCTTCAGTCTTACGCACACATACCCACTGAAAAAAATTGAACTTTTGAGTATTGTGTTCTAAGGAGTAGAAACTCAAAAGCGAACAAACAAAACCTGCTTGATTTTTTATTTTATTTTTTGCTAGAGAACAGATGTAAAACATTTCAGAAAAACAGGGGAGGAAGGAAATGTTAGCCGAACAGGCCATTAATATTGCAGTGCTTAAAAGTGTACCACATTTCTAAAAATAGATATATCACCACATCTTACTTGGTTCTTACTTGGTTCTGGCAGAATATATATAAAAAATAGTGTCTCGCCTTACTCACTTTATAACCTATAATTAAAAACCTATCAAAGAATTGTAGAGTTGGAAGGGATCCTGAGGATCATCTAGTCCAGCCCCCTGCAAAGGAAGGAGAGTCTGCCAACTTGCGAAGGAGAGTCTGTTCCACTGTCAACAGCTCTTATACCAGAGGGTTCTCTCACAGCTATTCTCTTGTTTCATAGAATGCTACTATCATAACACTCCACAGCTTTTATATTTAGCTCTTATGGTTAATGAGAATGAATTTGTTAACGATGAATTTGTACTACGGTTTAGCTTTTTAGGCAAGGTTTGTTTTGTTTAGTTTCTGCTACGTATAGCTACGTATTTAGTTTTCTCACACAAAACATGCTTTATTGGTTTGTCAAACCTATTTATTTCCCAGATGGCAATGCATGTTTCTATCTGTATTTTAATACGCTATGTAAATACTTGTTTTGAGTACATATACCTAGAACCTGATTGTAAATGCAATATGAAAACAGTAACAAGTGTGACCAGGTAAAGTTGAAATGTGATTTAAATAACAAAGTATGTTTCAGTGTTGTTGGGATTAATTTCATAGGCTAATGCAGACTTTCTAGCTTCCAATAGAGCCTGTGCATAAGCCTTCTACATCCTTGTTCACATTAAACAACCATCTTCCTTCTGAAGGATGGCTTTAGCCTCTCTTTAACAGACTCTGTTAGAAGGACCAAGGACAATTTCATTTGAGATTTGTATGTCCTTCTGGAAGATGTGGATTACAGGGAATTAATATACATCCTCAGATCTCAGATGAGGTCAGCATATAGTTTATCTAATGGAATTTTCTCTTTGAACATGGAATCAACAGTTTAAGATAGGAAACTCAAGTCATGATTGGTCCTTTGTTCTGGGGCATTCGTCGCCATTGTCCCCACTGACTGGTTAATACAGTAATGAGGTAGGCAGAACCTGACATACTAGGTGATTTATTCCAGCCAGAGGAATTCTGTCTCCCTTGAGCCCAGAAGTCACCCAGTTTTTCTCAACAAAATTGCAGTTTAGCCTTCGTTTCCAGAGGGGGAGCTGAAAGGGGTATCTCTTGCAGCAAAACAACAACATGTATCGTGACATCTTAAAAACACTGAATTGGCTTAGCGTGTCATCCGAGTGGTTTGTCTTGCTCCAGGCAAGTTTTACAGCTCATGACTTTGTTTTCAGCAGTGCACCAGCAGCAGCAGCAGCCAGACCAGCAGAGAAACAAAGCAGTTGTGATCTCCTCTCTGGGACCTTGCATACTTGTCTGTTCACTCTAAATTATACTTTGGCTTAGCATTTTGCGCAGACCAGCTCTATCACTAGTAATATTGACTATGTGAGGGACTGTCCACAACTAGTCTTTTTTTAATTTCCGCTAGCATTGTGATGCATGTTTCACCCAGTGCAGTGTTATCTACTCTGACGGGCAACAGATTTCTAGGGCCCCAAGCAGAGGGCCCCTTCCTCTTACCTGGTTCATAAAGATATATGGGCCACAGATTGAGCCTAAGACCTTTTGCATGTAAAATAGGCATCTAACTCCTGGACTATGGTCTGTCCCCTCAAAGTCCCCTGTCCAAACCATAAACATTAGAGATTTAAACAAACAGCATGGAATTAGGCATAAAACCAAATTAGTGTTAATTGCTAGCTAAAATTCAAGTTTGTATTTGCCATTGATGCTAATACTTCCTATAAGATTTTGTCCAGGAATCTAGTTATACAGTGGTACCTCTGGTTACGTACTTAATTCGTTCCGGAGGTCTGTTCTTAACCTGAAACTGTTCTTAACCTGAAGCACCACTTTAGCTAATGGGGACTCCTGCTACCGCCGCAAAATTTCTGTTCTCATCCTGAAGCAAACCTGAGGTACTATTTCTGGGTTAGCAGAGTCTGAAACCTGAAGCGTATGTAACCCGAGGTACCACTGTATTCTTATTTCAATCTCAACAACATAGCTGAAGCAATGAAGCAGAAAACAGACTTTCTCTAGGTATCTTCTCTATTGCAACAACAACAGCAATCCATGTCAGGGCCTTGTGGAATAATAGCCCATTCATTTTTATGCAATCCGGGTTGCTTTTCTTTCCTGGGGTTCAATTACATATTTAAATTTCAATTCCATAAGAACATGAAAACAAGAGTTGAAGGGGAGACATCTCTTTAGAATAAGCTGCCCTTTTAAAATAACTGCCTGATTACAATGCTGAAGTGTTGCTGAGGTATAATTAATTATTTTGTCATCTAAAATCCCTTTTATTTCCTTCACTAGATTTACAGAGGCAAATTTAAATATTTAATGGCAACCAGTGTGTGTAAATTTGTTTGCTTTGGCATGAATACTTCACTAATGTGCACTGTTGCATTATGAGACAGTGAAAAGTAGATCCTGTTGGGATGCTGAAAAGGCTTTCATGAACAAATTACTTTTAATTGTCTCATTCTGTTGGCCTGATCCTCAATAGACTTTGCAGATTAGCAAGAGCCCCAGATGCTTGATTTGTATTATGGTAATAATGTCACCTATTGATCATTCAGCACCATGATTGTGTTGGCAATCAGATTCTGGTACTGGAACAAAAGTGGAATTTGATTTCATTTCAGGAAGTTCAAGCAAGGATGGAAGGCTTCAATGATTTCAATGCAAACTTGAATAATGTGGAATACAATAAATGCTAATTAATTAATTACATCCAAAAAAAGTATATACCATCCTTCAGCGGAGCTTTCAGGGTGGCTTACAGAAACAAGATAAAATGCATAAATAACAACTGGTTAAAATAAAATGTTATATAATATAAACCCTGGGAGACTTTTTTTTTTTAATTGCCTAGCACTGAAGTGATTACAATGGTGGTGTCATGCAAACTTCCCCCAAGAGGGAATTCCACAAACAGGGTAGAACTCACTGCGAAGGCTCTCAGTCTTACCTTGGATGGTGGAAGTCCTGGGAGGAGGAACTCCAGTGGTGACCTTGGTACTTGGGTAGTTTAGTAAGGGAGTAGGGGTTCCTTACTGAGTCCTGAACCATATAGGGCTTTAAAGGTGAAGACTTGCACTCACAAAGTGGAAGCTTTAGTTACAGGTAGGTAGCCATGTTGGTCTGCCATAGTCAAAACAAAATTAAAAAAATCCTTCCAGTAGCACCTTAAGAGACAAACAAAGTTTCTTATTGGTATGAACTTTCGTGTGCATGCACACTTTCTCAGATACCTTCAGATACCTGAAGAAGTGTGCATGGACACGAAAGCTCATACCAATAACAAACTTTGTTGGTCTCTAAGGTGCTACCTTATTTTTATTGAGGGTGAAAGAGGAGAGCGCAAAATATGGTCTGAAGCTCAACATCAAAAAAACGAAGATCATGGCCACTGGTCCCATCACCTCCTGGCAAATAGAAGGGGAAGAAATGGAGGCAGTGAGAGATTTTACTTTCTTGGGCTCCATGATCACTGCAGATGGTGACAGCAGCCACAAAATTAAAAGACGCCTTCTTCTTGGGAGAAAAGCAATGACAAACCTAGACAGCATCTTAAAAAGTAGAGACATCACCTTGCCAACAAAGGTCCGTATAGTAAAAGCTATGGTTTTCCCAGTAGTGATGTATGGAAGTGAAAGCTGGACCATAAAGAAGGCTGATCGCCAAAGAATTGATGCTTTTGAATTATGGTGCTGGAGGAGACTCTTGAGAGTCCCATGGACTGCAAGAAGAACAAACCTCTCCATTCTTAAGGAAATCGGCCCTGAGTGCTTCACTGGAAGGACAGATCCTGAAGCTGAGGCTCCAATACTTTGGCCACCTCATGAGAAGAGAAGACTCCCTGGAAAAGACCCTGATGTTGGGAAAGATGGAGGGCACAAGGAGAAGGGGATGGCAGAGGACAAGATGGTTGGACAGTGTTCTCAAAGCTACCAGCATGAGTTTGACCAAACTGCGGGAGGCAGTGGAAGACAGGAGTGCCTGGCGTGCTCTGGTCCATGGGGTCACAAAGAGTCGGACACGACTAAACGACTAAACAACAACAACAAGGTTCTACTGGAAGGAATTTTTAAACTGGAAGCTTGTGAAGTTCTTTGAGTACTTCCAAAATATGCTCCCACCAACTGACTCCAGTGAAAAGCCTGGCTAATTACTCAGTGGCATTTAATAAATATATTGCATGGGAACTCCAACCCTGTGTTGTCAGGCTCTCCTGGCTGCTTAGAAATCTTGGGAACTATGACGTTGAATAACAATGATTCTTGCCACAATGATTCTTGTTTTTATGTAGTTAAGAACTGCTCCACAGGTTTTTCTGTCGCTAACGTTATGGTCACATGATTCAACCCAAAAATCTATGGAGGAGGCGACTAAAAATGTGTCTAATCTCCCCCTACACAAGAGAAGTGTGGATATCTATTTTTCAGAGGAATATTTTTGGATCATTACTTCATCAGTTTTTGCTTGGGTTTGATGTGTTTCTTTTATCTAGTTGACATCTTCCCTTGTTTATCTTGACTAGACTAGGCATTTATCTTAATTGCACCCTTCATTTTCATTATGCTATACTCTCAACTCTAAACCAGATCTCTCTCTCAGTACAAAATATGCAATATGTAACAATAAAACAACTTGCATCTGTTTCTCTCTCCTTCAGATCATAACCTATCAACAAAATGGTTTTATAGTTAATGGATCATATGTGAATGAAGTGGTTATGGTTCTGAAAATCTCTGTATGTATTAAGCTAGGTATATCCGAGTTGTTTAACATACATACAGGAAGAAACAGTGTGGCAGTTTTATTAGCTGTATGTGGACATTCAGATCCTGTCTGTTGGAAACGTGCCAGACCAATTCCACTTGGTGTGTTGGATCCACATTGGCACCCAGTCTTACATGCATAAAGCCCAATGTTCACACATACTCTGTATATGCAACCCCTACCATGCATATGGTCCAATTGTCTTCACTGGGCTTGACCTTACTGCATAAACACATTTTTATGTGTGATTCTAGTAAAAGCTTTCATGCCACATGAAACTCATTGACTCTCTTTCCACCTTTTTTAGGCTCGGCCAATGGATTACCCAAAGGATTATCTTTCCCATCAAGTTCCAATATCATTTCACAAACACTGGAACGTCGATCCGGTGAAAGTGTACTTCACATGGTTGGCACCAGAACAGAAAGATTTTCAAGATGGACGTAAACACATCAGGGAGGACTTATAATCTTTAATATATATATATTATATAATATATAAATATTGCTGTAGGTTTAATATTAGAGCACCGCCTGAATTTTGTTGTTGTATTTATAATGATTTGTTGCCCACATTGTACTGAACACTTAGGGCATGATCCGGTCCTACTTTTGGCACACCTTCCTGTTTTCTCCCTCTGGTGTACTAGTGACATGCATCACATAACTAGGGAAGGCTGGGCAGGGGCGTGGGGAGGGCACACAGACCCCTCTTCCCTTGCAGTGCTTCAGCATTCCTTTGTGTATGTACCAATGGTGAGAGAGGGAAAACAGATATATATTGAGCCCTATGGGACTCCTCCACACACAGGCACACCCTAATACTGCGTCCTTCCTTAAATATCCCCGTCCAGAATGAATTAAAATACATATCACATGCTCACATATTCATACATAAACTCAGTAAATCTACACATACATATGTGTTTGTTGGGCTGCAGGTCTTTTACTGTTAAATAACATTTACTTTTCGAATTTTGTACACATCCATAATATGTCAAATACTAAGTTTTTTAAAAAATATTTTAAAAAAAAATTTCAATGATAGGACAGGTTCTATCTCCCCACCCTGGCTGTTATCAGCATATTAGGGGTCTGGTGATAAAGTATGTGGAACTCCTTTGAGGGCTTATCCACACTTAACCTTTTCCCCTATTCTCTCCAGGCATAGCTCCGGGCTTTACAGCGTGTTCTCTCTCTCTCTCTCTCTCTCCCTCAGAACTTTCCCCGCAAAAACCCTCTCTTTAAAGCTGAAGCGTAACAAACTGCAATTTGGAGTTTCCATGGATTGCCATTTGCTCTAGACATGGAGCTTTAAAGTGCTGGCCATGCCTGGGGAGTGCAGAGGAATCCTGAGTTGCAAAGGGTTTTGTGGATCTTTTTTCTGTTGGTATGTAAACAGAAGGGAGGTTGGAATTAGTCTGACTATCAGATGAGAGAATTTCTGTATTTTCATTACCTTCTCTGTCTGTATGAACATGCACTGTTCAAAACACACAATTTATAGATCATTAAAATGCAAAGGCTTGGTGTTACTAAACTGGCCACAAGGTGTCACTACTTAGACTCCAAAAACCTGGTTACACTTCCGTTAACAAATGTATCTCAATGAATCTTGGAAACTTACCGCTGTGATACTTACCTTCCTTACATGGCATTATGTAGTTTGTACGCACAAGACTGAACTCTAGTTTACATCCATAACTGAATGTCATCTACCACTTCCTTTTATTGAAGGGATACTATACGTGTAATTGTGACATGCTGAAAGCAGCTTTTTTAATTCTGTTTTGCGTAGAGTAAGGCCAAGCCAAAAGCAAGGCGGGTGGGACGAGTAATTGTGAAAAACTTCACCGCCACCCATGAAACACATAAATGTTTTCAGCAATTACTTATTGTAAGAATTACAAATGGGACAAAAATGCTGGCCAGTTCAGATTGGTAACAAGAAACATTGCAGTCACTCTGGTTTTGCTTCATAATACCATAACGTGCCCTAATACGATCAACTACAAGATCTCTGAATGGCTGGGATTACCTCAGGATAAGAAACCACTGATTTTGTTTGTTTGTTCTTAAAGACCCTGAAGTTACAGATCATGGAAAGAAGCAGTTGTGAGTATGGGGTAAATAAGGAGTATTAAAAAGACAAACAAAGACTCCCTTTGTGAATCTTCCATACCTTCACTCACCAAAATTTTGTGGTTGGAAATTAATTGCAGTCCTCCTAGTAAAGATTTGTATAGTATCTATCATAATAGTCCTAACATTTATAACAAAACGCGTTTTGTTGAAGGCCACTTGAGGTTGCCTAACCTAATGTTGCTTACTGTATTTTAACCAAACACAGGGTCTTAAAGCCATATTGTATAATTGTTTTAATATATGTTTAAACATGGTTAGCACAGCACTTCATTCTGTTCCAAAGCAAAGCAGTTTCTTACCATTGGCAAAAATGGGACAGGATTTTTTCCTGTCAGGAATTACTGAAGCAGTATGCGCACGCCCGTGAATGTAGCTTGGGTATTTTTAAGCGTGCGAACGGTGAGCACATTCGAGATGGACAAGTGCTTGAATTGGAGGAACCAGCATCTTAAATGCTTTCTCTTTCTTCCCTCTCTCAGTGCCTTAAACTATAGATATTTCTACTGATAATCAGATCTTCTATGTTTTTGAACTGTATGGGGTATGTTGTTATTTATGTTGTTTCGAACTGTGTAAACCTAAAATGGAATAAAACACAACTGTTTAAAAACCTGGAATGTATTATACTAGGACTTTTTGCTTGGTCAACAGAGTCATGAACCAATAACCCCTAGCAGTTTTAATGTTTAAATAAGTAGGGGAAGCATATGAGAAAACGCTGCATGATGAATTTGTGTGGCCTGATCCTTTGCTTGTTTACTCGATGTGAATGCTACTGGATCTGAAGAGACTCACTTCCAGTTATGTGCGCTTATGATTGCAGACCTAATAGGGTCTGGAAGGTTGGTGTCCCTGAACAATTTGGATTGAAAGCCTTTGCAGTGAAGTGGAACACCTTTGCCTCCTAAGTCATAAAGGAAAGGGAAAGATAGGTGATTGCAAAAATGAAAACTGTCATGTATCCATAAAAATCATTTCCCAGTGAAGATTCAAAACTTCAACCATCTTGTTGCGTTTTTGGCATATGTCCGTCAGAGCAGTTCAAGTAGCCTTGAACTGGCTACTCCAGCTGGCAGGGTCTCCAAGGTATCAGGCAGAGGTCTTTGCCAGCTCTGCTACATTCAGTATTTTAAATTGAGATATCAGGAATAGAACTTGGGACCTTGTTGTACCATTCATAGTGACAATGATTCACAAGGCAAGTGATTACACTTCTTAAGTTTGGGGGAAGCATTCTGTGGTTGAAAGGTTAAAAAAAAACATTTTTCATTACAAAGCAGAAGTCAATTGTTTATTAGGAGTGTCTTTTGATGCTGCGTTTTCATTGCCTGTACTATGAATCTCATATTTTTTCAAGGCAAAGTCTTGGGAAAGATGGAGGGCACAAGGAGAAGGGGACGACTGAGGACGAGATGGTTGGACAGTGTTCTCGAAGCTACCAGCATGAGTTTGACCAAACTGCAGGAGGCAGTGGAAGACAGGAGTGCCTGGTGTGCTCTGGTCCATGGGGTCGCGAAAAGTCGGACATGACTAAACGACTAAACAACAACAACAGACCACAAGTCCATTTAACTCAGCATTGTATACACAGACAGGCAGCAACTCTTCAGGGTTTCAGGCAGGACTGTCTCCCAGCCCTACCCGGAGATGTCAGGGAGTGAACCTGGGACCTTCTGCATTCAAAGCAGATACTTCAGGAAATGGCTTTCTGCCGGGGAGGCATCTAAGGGACAATGTAAGAAACCTGATAGATATAATTGAATACCTTGAAGTCAGAAATGAGAAACAGGCAGTATTAATGTTCATAGACGCGGAAAAAGCGCTCAATAATGTTTCTTGGCATTTCATGAAAGAAAACTTAAAAGTATTAGGAATTGGTGAAAATTTTTTGAGAGGTATTGACACGATTTATTCGGACCAAAAAGCAAAGTTAATAATTAATAACAACATATCAGATAATTTTGAGATAACTAAAGGTACTAGGCAGGGATGTCCTTTGTCTTCCTTGCTATTTATTACAGTCCTAGAGGTCTTGAACAAGAGGCTAAGAGAATCATCAGAAGTCAGAGGCATTAAGGTGGGACGAAAAGAATTTAAGTTAAGAGCCTTCGCAGATGATCTAGTCTTAACGTTGGAAGAACCAAGACAAAGTGTGAAAGAGGCCAATAAAAAGAATGGAAGAGTTTGGGAAGGTATCAGGGTTTAAACTCAACAAAAACAAGACGAAAATGCTAGCAAAAAATCTGAAGAAAGAAGAGATGGAAGAATTACAAGTAGACTCAGGAATCGCGATAGCTAAAAAAATAAAATATTTAGGAATTTGGATGACAACAAAAAATATAAACCTGTACAAGGACAACTATGAGGTGGTATGGAAAGAAATTAAGAAAGATATGGACATATGGAGCAGACTAAAATTGTCATTATTAGGAAGAATCTCTGTGATAAAAATGAATATACTACCTAGACTGTTATTTTTATTTCAAGCAATACCAGTGGTAAAAGGGATAAGACAATTTAAGGATTGGCCAAAAATTTTAGTGAAATTTGTCTGGCAAGGGAAAAGGCCAAGGATAAAAATGAAGATACTAGTAGATAAGAAAGAAAGAGGAGGTTTTGATTTACCAGACCTGACTTTATATTATGAAGCTTCGTGCTTGGTATGGTTAAAAGATTGGCTGACTTTAGAAAATACTGACCTATTAGATCTAGAGGGCCACGACAATAGATACGGTTGGCATTCGTACCTATGGTACAACAAAGTAAAGGTACATAAAGGTTTTCTAAACCATGTGATCAGGAAATCTTTATATGAAGCATGGGATCGGAATAAATACCTCCTGGAAAGAAAGACACAGTGGTGGATATCACCAATTGAGGTGCTGACAACAAAAAAAGTAAACATGGAAGGGGAAAGAGTAACATATGAGGATATTACTAGGAAAACAGACCAAGGGATAAAGCTCAAACCATATGACCAAATTGAAAAGATGTTAACAGGGTGGCTGCAATACCACCAGGTCAGTGACTTATTAAAGGAAGATAAAAAGAGAAATGGGTTCGAAGACAAAAAATCAAAATTCCAAATCGAGTTAATAGACTGTAAAGATAAAATTTTATCAAGAATGTATAGCTTATTGCTAGAATGGTATACAAAAGACGAAGACATAAAGGAATCAATGATAAAATGGGCAATTGATATTGGGCATAACATTGAATTGGATGCGTGGAAAAGATTATGGAAGGAGGGTTTGAGATTTACAGGATGCATGGCTTTAAAGGAAAACTTGCTAAAAATGATGTATAGATGGCATTTGACGCCAGTAAAATTAGCTAAAATGTATAGGATAGAAAATGTTGGAAATGTAAAAAGGCAGATGGCGACTATTTCCATATGTGGTGGACCTGCAATAAGGTAAAAAAAAATTGGGAATCAATTTATAATGAACTCAAAAAAATATTTAGATATACTTTCCCCAAAAGACTGGAAGCGTGTCTATTAGGCTTAATAGGAACAGAAATTAAAATAGAAGATCAAAATTTGTTCATGCATGCTACAGCTGCCGCGAGGACCCTTCTGGCCCAAGGATGGAAAGTACAAGATATACCAACTATTCAGGAGTGGCAGTCGAAGTTGACAGAATATGCAGAACTTGCCAAACTGTCAGGGAGGATCCGGGACCAGGGAAATCAAAGATACCAAAATAACTGGAGTAAATTTATTGAATATTTAAAGAAGAATTGCAAAGAGGTCAAGACACTAGCAGGATTGACATAACACCTCCAATGTATAATAATACTAATATGAGAATGATGTGCGTGATGGAAAGAGGATAAATATACCAGTTGTGGGGAGGGAGGGGGGTCGCGACTCAGCAGAGTCAAAGGGAATGTATGGTGCTATTACAATTTGTTGGAAAAGAATATGTAAGGAAAACAATAAAAATTCACTCGGGGAAAAAAGATACTTCAGAAAATGTGGGAAGGGTCAGAAAAGTGTCAACCCTCATCACCAGCAATTGTCAAGAGTGACAGCTTCAGACCTTCACTGTAACATACTGTATTGGCCTGAATATAAGCCTCACTCCCCCCCCAAAAAAAAAAATTCTGACCACGAAAAGTTAAAGTGTGGCTTAAATTTGCGACCTTACAAAAATTGGCTTTTATGATATTTGCTGCTGAAACAGACATACGGAAAAATGGAATGGGTGTGAGTGCCTGCAGAATTTTAAGGGAGCAGCTTCTATTCGGGTGCGGCTTATATTCGGGCCAATACGGTATATTGCATTTAATAATTAATTCTACTTCCTGTGAAAATGGGGGACAGATTATTATTCCGCTTCCCTTCACATTCAAATGACCCCAAGTCGACCTAGTTAGAAGTTAGACTGGTGTGTGCTTGCTCTGCTGTATGGAAATGGCAACCGGAAAATGTAATCGGGAGCAAACATTTAATGAGATATTAGATGAAGCACCTGAGATTATACATTTGTGATTATAATGTGAGCTCTCTCCTTAGCTTGCTATGTGCTGTCTTAAAATATTATTCTGGATGTCATGCAGTTTTACCAGAGCTCTGTCCAAATATTGCTACAAGTTAATATGTTGTTAATGCAGCTAGATTCATGGATTAAAATGGAGGCATACGGAATACCTACGTAATGTTTGCCGATTACTTTCTTTTAGTCATTTTAGGATAACCTTCTCCCACGTGAACCTGTCCAGATATTAGCAGGGGGAGAGCTAATCTATGGTCCTCTGATATTGCTGAACGCCAACTCCCACCAGCCCAAGCCAGGATGGCCAATGATCAGAGATGATGGAAGCTGTATTTCAACAACATCTGAATAGTGACAGATAGCAACCCCTGTATAAAAATAATCCTCAGCTCTGGGATGCTCCCAACATCCCAAGGGACGCTCACCTGGCTCTGAGTCCCACCTCTCTTCAGTGCTGGGTGAAGCCTTTTATTTTCTCAGTGTTTTAGCTTTTCAGATTGTATTAGTACCTTTTGACTGTTCTGTTTTTCAGTTATGTGATTTTAATTATTGGCTGCTTCAAGAGTGGGATAGGAAATCGTTAAACATAGGCAGCATGGTTAGCATCTCAGACTAGGGAGACCCAGGTCGAGGTGCAAAATGTAATTTTAAACTACTATTAGATCTACCACATTTGTGTTTAAAAATTAAAATGTGTGGGCAAAGGACCCATTTTAAGCACAATATAAGCAGATAAGATGCTACAGTACAGAGAAGATTAATTTTGGTGCATAACCCCCTTAGGTGCTAATTTACATGGTGAATATTGCCAAGCCAAGACCTTTTGCTGTCACCACGAAGCAGAGCAAACCTGTGCTTACCTGAGAGCTGGAAATTAAAAAACAAAACCTAAATGTGACACGACAATTTAATGAAGAGCAGAATATTTTCTTCATACCTGCGATCAGAGAGTATTATTTCAGAAAATGACATTTACATCTTCCGGCTTATTGCAGTTTGAGAAATGCCTCCCTCAGAAGATTCCTGTAGGGCATAATATTGTGATTATGCGAACAGCTGTATGAAAACAACCTCCAGTAATTAAACTGCTGCTTGGACAGTTTAATTATGCCCACCGT